TCTCTCTCTCTCTCTCTCTCTCTCTCTCTCTCTCTCTCTCTCTCTCTCTCCCTCTCTCTCTCTTGGCCATGCAGGTGCCCCCCTTCAGAGGCTTCCAGGTGCCACGTGGCTGAAAAGCTCATCTCTCTCTCTCGCCCTTCCCTCCCCCACCTCTCTCTCTCAGACACACATGGGTGCTGTAGGACAACCCCACACACGCATGTTTGTGCCACGTTAACCCTTGTCTGTGGCTCTTTTATTTCCAACAAAGCACCACGGGTGGCTGCATGGACCATCGGAGAACAACTGCTGCATAGCTGCGTAGTGCATAAAAGGAACCTCATTGTGTGGCTGTGTGTCGTGTCAGAACAAAAAGCGTGCCCTGTGGCGCCACGGGGGTTCAAAGAAATCTCGCCGTGCACCTGTGCGGCACTTGAAAACACTGCTTGTGACAGTGAGATCCCCCCCCGCCCTGTGCCCAACGATTCCCAGGGTATTGCATGTGGCCTTGTGGGACAGCATCTTGTGAAACACTTTCCTTCCGTTAAGGAGGTTGGAAAAGGCATCTGTATGTCCTGAAATCTTTCTTACAAATGCCCGTGTTTATTCTGCCTATCTGTGGAGTGATTTTGATTAGGCGAAACTTGAAAAGGGATATGATTATTCACGACGGCTGCACAATGTTGGATGTTGGGTTTGTGGAGTGTTCTATTCAACATTATGTCAATTCTATTGCTAATCCACAATCCTTTTATTATGGACTTCTGAATTCCTGATCTGTTTTTATACTGAACTTCATAAATTCAGGAAGAAGAAGAAGAAGAAAAAAGAAAAAAAAAAAGAAAAAAAAAAAGAAAAAAAAAAAAAGAAAAGAATGGTGGTAATCAGTTTATTGGCAATGCATTTACCTAGGGTTTTGGCCGAGACGCAAAAGAGAACAAGCAAACGAAAAAAACGTGGTATTGAAAGTTGATTTGCGAGTATGGATCTGTGCAACGGATATGGAAGCTCTTTTGCTCCATCCGCACAGACTGCATTGTAACTGCGATTTCATTTTTTTTCCCTCATCAGTTGAATCAACACAAGCAGGCCCTGCAACGATTTCATATTTTCCTCGTCAGTTAAAATAGCGAGAGCAGACCGTGGCGCTCCTGTTCGTCCGTTGAATATATGTTTCTGCATCTCTTTCTTTTCGCTTTCAAAGTTCGAACCACCAGTACGAGCCCTTGCCTCAAACATGCAGCTGCACACAAGTGGGCCACACTTTCTGTGTACTGGCCTGGGGGGGGACTGGTTCAATCCATTCGGACGGGAAAAAAAGGAGGTTTGGGTCCAGTGTACTGGTGCAGTCAAAGAAGGAGAGGATGGCACTTGGCATGTTTTTTGTATCTTTTAGAGGATCTGAAGACTCTGACTCTGACTCGGAACTTGATATCGTGACCTGGTGAGCACCTACAGATTTGTAGTACTTTTTACTATCGGGCTAAAAACCGATACACTACCATTCACTCACTGTTCCCTATTTCTTGGTTTCTTCTGTTTACAGGGGTTTCAGGCTTCCGGCATCTCATGTGATCCACACGGTTGGACCTATATACATGTGCCCAGAACATTCTGCGCCACTCTTATCCTCTGCTTACAGGTGCAGTGCATCATATGCCCTTTGTGAGACCAATGTGATGTTTCTGAGCTTATTTTTGTTCATGATCTCTCTCTCTCTCTCTCTCTCTCTCTCTCTCTCTCTCTCTCTCTCTCTCTCTCTCTCTCTCTCTCTNTCTCTCTCTCTCTCTCTCTCTCTCTCTCTCTCTCTCTCTCTCTCTCTCTCTCTCTCTCTCTCTCTCTCTCTCTCTCTCTCTGTGTGTGCGTGTGTCTGTCTGTCTGTCTATCTGTGTCTATCTGTGTAAATCTGTGTCTATCTGTGTCTTTGTCTGTCTGTCTGTCTGTCTGTCTGTCTGTCTGTCTGTCTGTCTGTCTGTCTGTCTGTCTGTCTGTCTGTCTGTCTGTCTGTCTGTCTGTCTATGTCTGTCTATCTCTGTCCGTCTCTGTCCGTCTCTCTGTCTGCCTGTCTGTCTGTCTGTACGCCTGTTCGTCTGTGCATGCGGTCTTCAGCTGTAATCCACGTATACTTGTGCTCACTGTCATCCTTGGTCTCATCTTAGATGATAATTAGAATCAAATGAAGGTTTAGAATGGCCCAATGGCAAAACAAAAAAAAGAAAAAGGCCCAACTGGCCATGGCAGGTTTAAATTGCAAGTGATGAAAACTCAATCAGAAAAGTAATCAGTCCCTAAAATGACTGTAGTTAAGCCTGCTGTCAAATCAAAACCATCGATAATCGTATAGATTCTGGAAATAGGAACATCCGGCAGAAATCCCTGAAGAAGTTCATGCACAAAAACAATAAGTAAGATTTTAATTAGGCATTATGTTGATGTAAATTGATTCTAATTAGACGTGATGTTTATGTGATCAACTCTATTCCGATCTGTCATCTCAGCTATGTGTATGTGATTGATTCCAATTGGACGACATCTTGATGTGATTGCGCAGATATTCTTTTTAGATCAGAGTGCATGCGAGGTGAGAGCACGGTACCATGACCCTTTGACTATGGAAAGATGGTTACTTCAGGATTGCCATCACTAGGCAAGGAGAGTTGCAGAACCGTCAAATGACAACGATTTGTTTGATGGATGCACATAATCAGGCAAGCCTGGGTTCCCTCCCAGAATAGAAGGGTTCTGTTTGTTTTTTAAGTTACATGCTGGCAAGTACAATTTTTATTTTTATATTTCTTTTGGTACAACATTCTTTGTATTCCTTTGAAATTCTCAGATTTTGAGGCAGGGAATGCCAAAGATTGTATTATTGTTTTAATAGTATTATCCTATATGGCTAGGCTACCAGAGCGCCAGGGACCACTTGCCCGGCTTGGCAAAAATCAAATAAAATGCAATTATTTTTTATTTTAAATTTGGTAAAGAATTTCGATGTGACCCTGAGGCAAGAGTTGTTCAGTTTATCTCTCTTCATAGCATAGTTTTTTTTCGGTTTTTTTGGATGTATATTTTTAAAAAAATTTAACTGGGACCTTCCCTGGTCCTTGTAAAGCCGGGCCGTCCGGGAAAACAAGGTGACCCGGGCCCCTGGTCCTTGTACGGCCGGGCCGCCTGGGAAAACAAGGTGACCCGGGCCCCTGGTCCTTGTACGGCCGGGCCGCCCGGGAAAACAAGGTGACCCGGGTGGCCCGGCTGGTAGCCTAGCTTTATGGTATTTGCTTTAAGTATTTTGTGGCATTTTGCTGTGGATGCAGGTCAACAATTGAGCTAGCTGAGGAACATGGGATAAAGTATGTGGCTTTCCCAGCAATCTCCTGTGGGACTTATGGGTACGCCAACTCTTTTCCTTGCTTGCACTGTTGTCAGCCTGTTGTTTTTCTTCTGTTGTTCTCATCTTTCTTGGTTCGCACCAATGCTGCTCGGCCTACCTGCTCAGCACCAATATTTTGGCGGCCAACTGGTCTGCCCCACCCCACCCCCCCCCTCTGTGCCAGAGTTCTTTTCACTTTCGTAAAGTTTTTCTTCTTTCTTTTTTTCCTGACTTTACACCATCTGGTCAGTTATGAGGATAGCAACTTGGTCAGGCCCTTCTTTCCCCCCCCCCTTTTTCCCAGGCTACCAGAGTGGCCCAGGACCAGTTGCCCGGCCGGGCAAAATGTTTGACGACCTCCTGATGAGTCAGTGAAACTCCGACGAAACAGTTTGTCACAGCCCTTCGTTTGTTGTCCTCTTCTCCCTCTCTGCCTACGGTTTACCGGGCAGCACTGTTTGACGATATGTATCTAATATCTATTCAATTCTTTTTTTTTTTTTTTCTTTTTTTTTTTTTNTGCTGGGACCTTCTTTTGTCCTTGCACGGCCAGGCCGCCCAGGAAAACAAGGTGACCCGAGTGTGTGTGTAATCCGAATACAAGACTCGGACACACAACCAACGGCTTGGCGGGCTAACACCTAACCATAAGGCTAAGTGGGCTGGGGTGAAAGTGAAGCCCCAAGATGAGCACTTCACCCCACCCCAGCACGGAGATCCCGCGACATGGTGTACCCAACCACACTCACCCCTACACAGCCACACTGCCCATAGTATAATCTCTACGGCGGTTACTGCACGAAAGCACGTGTAATCCGAATACAAGACTCAAACACACAACCAACGGCTTGGCAGGCTAACACCTAACCATAAGGCTAAGTGGGCTGGGGAGAAAGTGAAGCCCCAAGATGAGCAGCCCAGCTGGTAGCCTAGCTTTTTTCCTTCTTTTTTTTTTTTTTTTTTTTTTTTTTTTGGAAAAAGGGTTTAACGGCTTAACCCCTAACATGATTGTATCCAAAAGTTGGAAAAGGGATTTCCAACTTTTGATCTCTTTATGAACTGTTCCATGTGTGCACCATTCAGCCATCAGGCAGGTAGCTGGCTTCAGTGAAATTCCCTCCTCGTTCCACACTTGGGGGTATAAAATCTGGTTGAGGAATTGTTTCACGCATTCATCGATTCAATTGCATGTACTCATCATGCAGTTGTCTGTAACCCGGTGCCCAAGTTCTTTTGGCATCGACAGAGTTATGTGCAATCCAGTTCATTGCATGTGCCTCTTCTGTTTCCCAGCTCTGAAGTTCATCATGTTTGGGCTGTGCGAGGGGAATACCTATCTTCTTCCACATCATGTCTCTGCAACGTTGCAAACCCTTCTTGCAATGGCCTATGCCGCCTGGCAAGCCCAGATCAGAGCCAAGTGCCATTCATGATTCATCATCTTCCTCTTGCCCGTCTTTTCTCGTCCTGGCGCTGATGTCTCACTGGTGGTTTCCAAGGCAAAGGACCCAAAGATTGAAAAAAGCCAACACTGCACGTTCGAAGGTCGTCCAGTTCGGATGAATGCTACCAATATAGGCAGGCAGCAGGCCAGTAGCCCCCAATACGGTGACCGGTTTTGTAAAAGAAGTATTGCAGCTTGTGGATGCCTGTCTCGCCCACCTCCAGATAAGCCAAGGTTCGCAGCACCAAACCTCTACCACATGTTGTGGGACTCGGTACGCGCCAACTCACCACTAAGCTTGCCATTTCTATTTGCGATGTCTGCATCCATCGATGTCCAAGCAATGGCTGGTACTCTTGATCCCTCTCGCCCTGGAAGCTGTACAAGGAGGCAGTGCCTGCTCTTCAGTGCCTGAGACAGCAAGCGAGAATGAAACCCCGTGATTCAACGAACGGGCAGACCCTCCCTATGCTGTGATGTCCAGTCCAGACTCCTTACTTTCCCTTTGTATTACCCTTCTTTATCTTTCATCTCTGTCGTTCCTTACCGTGTGTCCACTTACTCCGCCAACTCCTCGGCAGCATGCAACTAGGACCAGAGGCACATGGAGGCACACCCGCGAGGCCCAGCGCTACTTGTAGCTGGGTCACGCCAGAGCAGACACAGTTCGAGTAGCTCGCTTCTTGGGCGACACACTGCTGGGTAGAGGTAGAGGTGTAGGTAGGGAGTGAGGCGGAGGCCATACCTGCGTCGGCGGAGTGGGCGCTGTGTTGGCTTGCCAGCCAAATGCCAATTCGTTGAAACCCTAAACCCTAAGGGTCGTAGATTTGGAATTACTGGATAGTAATCCAACTTTTGCAATGTTGGTTTGGTGTTTGTAATGTGCCTATGAGAGCCTTGTCGGGCTTGCTCCTCTCCACTACTTGGCTGTCGGATTTGCATTTGGTACTGGCACTGTGTTGGGTTGTCGGCCAAATGCCAATTCGCTGAAACCCTAAGGGTCCTAGATTTGGAATTACTTGGAGTTTTAACCCCCATTTTTGTGTCACAGAGAACTTTTCAGAGAACTGTGGCCAGAAATGGAGGACAGTACAAAAAACAGGGAGCTGTGACACGGCAGGTGGGCATGCTCTCCCCCCTCCCCCCTCTCTCGCTCTCTCACACACACGCAGACACACAGACACACATTGGTGCTGCCAGTCGCTCTGGCGGTCTTGCTCTTGGCGCCGCTGCAGCCACAATACGCCAGGCAGCATGTGCTGAGACTGGGGGCAGGCTGAGACCAATCGCGTTCACTGGTCTTGCTTGCCTCCTGCATCTGAGTAACATTGCTGAGCCCGGGCCCGACGACGGCTGCAATCAAATATGTTTCCCTCTTTTCCCAAAATATTTGATGAAAGAGAAGGGTTGATTGATATACGTTCTGTTAAACCACTACCGTCTTCACCTGAATAGAACACGCGGTCGTTATAGCCGTATTTGGTGCACTTTTCAGTCCAGATATAGCTATAATAACCGGGCGTTCTATTCGGGTGAAGACGGTAGTTCCTCCGCCAGTGTTGGGAAAATAGGGAAAACTGGCAGTTTTCCCAAACTCCTAAAAACTCGGAGGCCGGGCCCGACGACGGCTGCGATTGATAAATCTGATCGGCGGCCTTCGTTTCATTTCGTTTCATTTCGTTTCGGCCTCCTAAAATGCCGGAGGCCCACTCGCGGCCCATTATTTTCCCACTGAGAAAAAAAAACGAAAAAAAAAAGGCCATGTGTTCTTTTCTAGTTATGCAGATGAAGAAAGCATATCCTCAGAAGTGAATGTTGCATATGCCCCTCTGGATTGTCTCTTGTCACCCAGGTACCCTTATGAAGAAGCCGTGCCTATTGCATTGGGAACACTCCAAGAAACAGTCAAATCTATGAAGGAGGTACAGTTTTCATCTCTGGTTTCATTCATGCATTGATTGTCGATACCTCTGTTATGTTTGGCAAGCTATTTGCGGATGAAGTTGCCACGTATTCATCTTTTTTTCTGTTCTTTTGAACCTCTTCCCGTTCTTTTCAGTGCCCTTCGAAGAAAGGGGATGAACCGCGGCTACATCAGAAAACGTGGACATTAATCTTCTGTCAATAATATGTTGAGATGATCACCCAACAAAACGTGTTTTGGGAAACAGCTGAGAGGGTGAGCAAATTTGGGATGAGATTGGAGGTTGGAAGTGGGAACCGAATTTCGTCCCGAATTTCGTCCCGAATTTGAGATCAGATTGGGACTGAATTTGGTCCAAATTTTGAGATCAGACGGGGACAGAATTAGGTCGCAAAATTGAAAATTGGGAGCGAATTTGGAAATAAGCATGTTGCACAGGTGGGTTAGTAAGGAAGTTTGGGAAAGAACTCCAAAAAAAAAAAAATCCAAAAAATGTTTTGTACAGGGCCAACAGGCTGCCTGCCTAACGTGGTGGTCCAGCTGGGTGCTTGTCAGTCAGTATGACGAATATATTTATTTTGATTTTTTGTGCTTGTGTCGCGTGGAAGCCTAAATCCGTGCTTGTCTGCAGTGATTAATAATTCAAGAAGTGGGTGTCGGTGTTCATCATGGGTGGGGAGGTAAATGGGCACTGAAGGGGTGTGTTATTCCGATTTTTTTTATTTTTTTTTTCTTCAATGGGACACACTATCAGAAATGAGCAGCTGCTGTCATTAGCAGGGGTAGGGAAAAAATGACAAAAAGTATAGAAGCCTAGAAGGTAAGTTGGGATGGATGTAGAATTATGGGACTCACCCTCAGTTACAGTCTGCCTATTCCTAGGATATGGTAAAGCAAGAGCTCACAAATGAACACCATCATCGACGTAAACACCGTACAGAACGTACCTTGCCGATTAGCTCATGCTATAGGAGAAAGAAGAGCAAAAGAGGGGAACCAAGACAGGGGAAGGAAGAGGGATATGAGGAGATGAGGACGATGGACAGCAGGAGGAAGGAGGAGGAGTGATTATCTTCGTACCCTTCACACAGTGAGAGTATCTTGGGATCTCTCGAGCCTACCATCTCGTTATTGCTGGGTCTCCTAGAGGCCAATTTCGCGCTTTTCCACCACGATTGTCATTTTTCTGTAATAAATTATAAATCACAATACTAAGAATACTCCATGCGAAATTGCGTCCTTAATTCCACATGTACGTGCCCGATGTTTATACTGATATTGTACAGCACTTCTGAGAACATTGGCCTCGCTCCAGTACTCTCCACATGCACAAAACACAAAAAACATGGCGTTGTATTCTTTCCATGTTCTTGTGGAGGATTCATTCTCATTTTTGCATATTTGGTGAGTAGTGGAGCGAGGCGCCAACTGTGTTTGGATTTTTGAAAGTGTTTGAATTTTTGAAAGTGTTTATGGATGTCGATCTGACCGGAGGGCGTGGCGGCGATGATGTCAGGTCCATTTCGTGCTCTTTGAGGACGCTGTGTGGCAGGAATGGCTGGAGCAGGCGAAGAGTAACTTCATGGAAATCACGAAAGAGGACATGGACGTCAAGACGGCATAAAGGCAAGGTGACCACTGCATAAGGAGCACCTCCATGTATCCATGCTTGTGTACCTCCCTGCAAGCAGGTTGAGAGAGCATTCTATGGACGGACAACGTAGGACAGTTTGAAAAAAAAAAAAAGGAGGACAGTAATCCTTCTGCCATCTTGGAAAACACACCATGAATTTTCTTGAGAACTCTCCCTTTTTAGGGAAAGATGCATGTAACTGGTTACTACCACAATTGCTGTAACAGTAAAAGTCTGTTTCTTCACACTTTTGTGGTCCACATTCGCTGCTGGTACGAACTTTGAACTTGGACGGTGTGAATCCCATGCGCAGCACCCTCTCCTATTCAGAAGATGCATGTACCTTTTCTACCATCTGCCCCCGAATACAATGGACGGTTGCCCGAAAGGAATGCAGCAATAATGACGGTAGACCGTACGTTCTATTTTGGGGAAGATGGGTAGTTAAGAGTACTTTACAAATGTATTGTGAACAGTGGAATGGCTGAGCGGTGCACCGCACACAGAGATGCATGTGTGATATAAGAGCTCGCTTGCTCGCTCGCTCGTTCCACTGCACAACATGCTGAATGCATCTGGACAAAGGTTTAGTCGCAAACAGATTGAAAATGTCAGGTCAGTGCGAATGCGCTGCACTGCACGACGTGCAGAACCTTTGTTGTTGTTGTTGTTGTTGTTTTTGCTGTTTTCATAGATAAAGAAGAGTGTACTGCCTAAGGAACAGATCCTGTTCAAGTACAGTGGTACGAACCTTTCTTTTTGTCTCATTGGGTATAATAAATAGCCTCAAATAGGTCTTTGGCACATCAGTCCTGACTGTTAAGTGATGAAATTGCTCTTCCAACCTTTTTTTTTTTTTTTTTTTTTCATCCTACGATAGATTTCCGAAGGGGGGCACCGGTGAACACTGATCTAGGCCTGCCACCCCTTCTTTTCCCGGGTGGCTATTTCCCCCGTGCGCTGCACCGGAGCCGTGTGCACTTGTGCGCCGCACATCGTGCGCTTGCATGTATCATCTGGACCTGTAATGGTCCCGGTACATTCAAAATTGATGTTAGACGGGTTGGAATGTATCTGGTTCAGATACATGTAGAATATTGTGCAGTGGAGCCAGGGGAGGCGGCCCCATTTCACATAGTTTTTTCTTGTAGTGCAGTGTTTTTTTCTTGAACCAGCACCACCCCCGGGCCTCTTTTTCGTAATGTGGATTTGCACTGCTCACCAAAGGAAAATGATCCACCGGCAGCGTACTTCTTTTCATTTTCGGATGGCGCCGCCACCAGCCACTCTGGTCCCGTAGCATGGTTCTCCGACATGGTTCATCCGGAGAACCGGGATGGACGCAGTTTCGATTCTCAAGTTTGCATGGGCGAGGTACTGGTCGTTGAAATGTGCAGTTTGTGTTTCGCTCAGTTTTTTCCTTCTAGTTAGGTCTTTTTTTTTTTCTGAAAAAGTGCGGAGGTTTTTTGTCGTCGAATGCAGTGTTTTCATAAAAGTGCGGTGTCTTCTAACTTTTCTCGATTTGCGAGTTTGGACCGGTTTCTCGACTGATGAATGTCGTCCGTGTCCACAGAGGCCATGCTGATTCTTCTGTCTATCGTCTAGACAACTTTGGTGGATTTCACAAAGGATATCTTCTACTTGTTTTTCTTCTTCAACCCTTTTTTTTTTTTTTTCATCAGAGACTCCCCACCCTCTATCAATTTACCCAAGAACAAAACATATGCCTGAAATATGAGCCCTGAAATATCGCTCTCTGTCTGCCCTTGGCAGACTTTGTAAAAGCCCTAAACCCTGTAATAACCCTGGCATGTATCCTATTTCTCTTTGTGGGAACTTGAGGCGGGTCTCACTTCACTCACAAACTCAATCCTTCTCCGGGAAATGTCATATACTTACGTATTCATTAATCTGGCAAAATTCATTATAAAAATAAATTGTCTGCATACGTGATCCTATGGGCGCGAGAGCGTTTTCTTTTATTTACTTCGGCCTCTCGCTCAACTCGCTCACTAGCAGTGCAGATCTTTCGTTTCATGCTGAAGATCGTGCAGTTTTTCTTGTCTTTTTTCCCCTTAAAATAAAAATAAAAGACATAAAAATGCAAGCATGCAGTTTTTCTTGTATTTCGTAGCCTTTAGTAAATCAGTTCCTATTTGATGCTAGTTCTTTTGACAGAGCATTTCCCATTTCACAGACGGAGGCGCTCGCGTTCATCGAGTTTATGCTTTCTTTTTCTACATACAACCTACCGACTTCCCACCGCATTGCCATGGTTAATACACCGAAGACGCTACGAAGAATCAATGCTTGGATGATTGGTTCTTGATCTTTAATTTTTAATCCTAGCCACAAGTCATCCTCATTTTCGTACGGGGTGGGATTGGGCAGTTCCCTATCAAACGCCGGTTCATGTGGACAGCAGGATCGCACGGGTTCTCATTTCTGCTGCTTGAGTCTGCCTCTGGTTAGTTAGAGGCTCATTATTCGCGTCAGTGTGTGCGTGTGTGTTTTCCTTCCTCGATCTGTCTGTAAATAGAGGTTTCTAGAACAGATTTGCACACCTAGTGTATTCGCACAGCGGGGATGCCTTGCATCCTGTAGTTATTGACCGTAGGTTCATAAATCACACGTCTCTCTGAATCATCACGTCGTAATTCCACTTATATATCCACTTCAGGAAAATGTGTTTTTGCCATTTTTGGTAATGGATGATGCTCTAACTATAACCTATTTGATTCTTCTAATATAAGACGCGAATCAGGATGCTTGGAACTTGGAGATTCAAAAATACACACAAAACATATCCCATACTTCCCATGGATTGCGTGCTCTGTTTCGCCTCGGGAGGTCCTAATTACCAAAGTGAGTGTGTGTGTGTGTGTGTGTGTTGCACAGATCCTTCTCCTCGTCAATTTCTGATGTCGGTGTGGGGGCAACCTGTCTAACGAATGGAATCATAAGGGAAAAAAAAAGGGTGGGGGAAAAAAGCGTGGAATGGAAACACTGTATGAAATTTTGCAAATGGAATTTGGGATATTGTTTTCCCAAAAAAAAGAAGGAAAAAATAAAAGAAGATGTCCAGACTCTAGACTGCAATACCATTCTTAGGAACAAACATTTGGGTGGGCAATTTTTTTTTTTCTAATTATTATTATTATTTTGAAACAAACGGAACCTTATGGTTCCGGTTCCTTCTCCATTCTGGGGAGCGTCAGTCCGGTTCCTATTCCACCGGCAAGTCTGAGAAGATTACAAGATATACACGCTCACGCTCCTCCCCCTTGTGGTGTGGAGGCCCGAAGGACGCCATTGATTACTTCTGTAGGGAAGGATGTACCACCCTTCACCCCTGCGTAAGTTAGCCTGCTTTATTGGGAACCTGGATTTGTCTCGTAGCTGTTGCTAGAACCCTAAACCCTGATTTGGTACATCCGTGTCTTTAATTTGTCTTCGGGAACCGTATCTGTAACTTGACTTGATGAGGTCGGAGGATATAGTCTGAGATCTAGATGTCTCTTGAAGGGGATTGTTGGATTTGAGGTGAGGGTGATCTTGACAGGGGGGGTGTTATGTTTTGGGGGGTGGCTGGGCTGGGGAATGTGGAGTTTATCGTGATGTACTAAGTATTGTAAGGAGGGAGTGGGGAGGGAGGGGTGGAGGGGGTTTAGCGGGTGGCTTGACGGGGGTTGAGTTAATGTGGGGGCGGACGGCTGAGGGTGTGGGGTGCATGATGAGGGGGAGGGGTAGGTCTGGTGGGGGGCGAGGGGTCTTAGATGGATCGGTGGTGGGTAGTGATAGGGTGGATTGGGGCTGATTGAGTGTGGGGTGGAGGGGGTTGTATGGAAGCTTTATATCTGTTCTTATGGTTAGCCAATTTTTGAGTATTAGCCTGTCGTTGTTAATTGTGCCAAGTAGCCCATTACCTAGTTTGGAGAAGGAGAATTTTTGGATTATTAATTTATTAGACTTTTTTTTGTCTGGATCAGTAGGGAGATTTCTGAGTTGCTTTTTTTCCATAGGGCGTGAATTTCGGCGTCTTTTAGTTGTTGAATAGTGATGAGTGGATTTTCGGGGGTGGTGAGTCGGTCATCGAAGGTGCTGTCGCATCTGTTTTTCCATATGGGTAGTGATAGGGTGCTTTTCTTGATTTGGGATGTGAGGAAGGCTTTGAAGTTTGAATCCTTTGAGCGGGGGTGATTGATTGTTGAGGTCGAGGAATAGCGCGGCGGGGTTAATTAGTAGGGGGGGCGTCTGAGATTTTATGCCATGATGATTCTAGGGTTTGCCAGAGGGATCTTGCCTTTGGGCGATCCATGAAACAGCGGTTTAGGGATTCAGGGGTATTGAGGTTGCATGCCTGATCAGATCTGTTTCCTTGATTGCGTATGATGTCCAACCATTTGTTTACTGCGACTGCTCTGAAGGCTATTAGCCATCTTATGCTGGCTAGCTTAGCCGGCCTTGTTTGATAGTATTGTTGCCCAGGGAAGTTTGAAGTGGGCGTTGGCTAATTGAGGCTCTTCCTTTGCCCGCCTGTTGCGTACTGTGTTGGATATCGAAATGGGTTTGGTGAAAAGACGATAGCCGGTAGTTTGGGAGTGTGGTCGGTTAGTTTGCAAAGAGTTGTAGATGAGGGTGGAACCGGAAGGGGAGCACCATGGCCCCCATTCTGTGGGATCGATCTCTAGATCTCTGATGTTAATATGAGGTTTATAGACTCTTTTTTCTTTCTCCTTCTAAGATTTTGATGCTTCGCAGGTTGTTGCTCTTGAATGCTCCTTCTGCTCTGCTCTTTGATTTGATATAGCTTATCGGGTTTCCTGGTTCCTCTACGGTGGGTATGTTACAGCATATCCATATTTGGGTGGGAAAATTGAGAAAAATGTGAAATATGATAAATATTAAATATCATATATGTAAAATATGCACAAACTCGGGAGAGAGCGGCAGAAAATGAAGTTGGGAATAAGAAGAAGGGACAAAGGGGGGTTGAGCGAAAGAAAGCAAATTTTTTAATTATTTTTCTCATTTGTGGATAAGGAGAGTGAGGCGAAGAAGGGGAGTGAGAGCGCGAGAAAGGGAGAACCCTGATAGGTGAGAGGTGAGAGGAGAGAACATGAGTGTACTACCGTCTTCCCCCGAAGAGAACATAGGGCCACCATTACCATTATTGCTTCTGTATCTAGACTGGAACTTGCCCCAAATATAGCTACAGCAACTGTACATTCTATATGGGGGAATG